ACCAGCCGGCTCAACTCAAGCTCGGCGAAGATGGGCTCTCTTACGTCATCTCCAATCACCAGTTTCGAGGAACCGACTTAGACCTCGAACTCGAGCAATTTAACAGATAAGGACCATCAAACGCGATGGTCGGGCGCAATCGATAAGGGAAGAGGACAGACAGACAGCAACTTCTTCTTCTTCTTCCCACCTCCGATTCTCTCTTAATAACAGTAGAAAAAAACAAAGGAACTGATGCGAAGGGGAAGAGGAAGGAGCTTTGCCTCTGGATTTTGTTGTTTTGCCTCTGGGAAATAAAAAATAAATACAAATTAAATGAGAACGTGGGCCTGGCAGTTTTGTGGTTCTGAAATCAGGCGGGAGTCCTTTTTTTCCCGCTTAACACTCTGCCACATCAGCTTCCTAAAATCACTCTATGGGCAGGAAATTTTGAATGGGGGGTGCAGTTTTACTTTTCAGCTATAAATTATACTGTTGATTTGACTTTTTTCACAGATGAAATGGATTCGTTGTGATTTACGAAATGATATTTTGAGAAAATATATTTAATATCACTCATTATCACTTTAGCATCACCTTTGTTTTTAGCTCGAATTTTAAAAAAAATTCACAGAAAGAATGAGTCATCGTCATCAATTTGATGTGCGAATTTCAGAGAATGAATTTTTTGATATGCAATCATTTTATATATTGACACATGGTGGATATGCAATCATCAAAGTAGAATGTAAAAAATATACAGCAGTTGCGCAGCTTCCATACATTTTTGGAATTTCTAACCAATACCACTAAACTTGACTATAAACTATTCAGCTTTCTCATAGTAGAATAGGCAAAGTTTCCTAGATAAAAGCAATGCTAGATTCTACAGCAAAATCACTCCTTCGAACACCATGCATACCTGATTAATTATTGATATCTTCCACATATAAGGTCAGTCTCTGGAACTCTGAATATGAAGTCATGAAATTGGCTACAAAGGACCTAAAATCTAGATGCATCACTAATAAGTGGTTCGGGTACTAAATTCTATAACCTGATTTTCAGCAACCATTCATATATACTCACACCTATATATGAATAATCGCTAACCACAAAGAGCATGCATAAAATAACTTATGTAAAGCTCCAAAACGAATAGGGGCACTTTTGTGATAACATCAATATAACTTTTTATCTTTACAACCACGAATGAATTGAGAGCGGGGAAGATGAAAGGGAAAGAGACATAAAAAAACTAATGATAATGGATCAATTGGTTAAGTTCCTTGGAAATTTGGTTATGCTGATGTGATTTATTTCCTTATTTTCCTGTCATCAAAATCACTCATCACCTAGCTATGCAAAAACACGCTTCCCCTCTGCTCTCTCTCCCCTCCTCGTTAGCAGTCAGACCCTTCATCCTCCTCTTCCTGCTCGTCCCTACCTCCATCCTGTTGTTTCTTCCTTTCCCTCTTTTCTTTTTCTTTGATAACTTCATTTCCTTTCTTTCTTGAAATTTGCAATTTGAATCTTGCATGCGTGATTACCATGGCCTATTTGTTCAATTTTGTTGAATCATTGATGAGCAACCCTGCGCAGCATTATGTCTCATCTTCACCATCACGGTCTTTCCCAATTCGAAGAAATCTCTTTTCTTCTCTGGTCGACCTGTATTTATAGCTGTCGAATGCGCTTTGCTTCTCATGTGTCCATGCCTTTTCCGTTTCATTCTTTTTTCATCTCCTCCCTTCTCTGTTTTGCTTCTTCAGCCATGCTCCCACTTTTAGCTAGGTAGGTAGGTAGATCTGTCTATATCCCCTGCTGCCCGATTTCTTTTCGTGCCTATCTCATCCCTTCGCGTCGCCGGAGTTCGATTTATAGCACCCATGCTCAAATAGCCTGAACAGGGGGAACATAGACGACTTTTAACCTTTAACACACAAAAACAAAATCATCTCAAATCAAGAAACACCATCATCAGAACCCTTTTACCCAAAAATAAACGGGCGGCAAAGGCTTCGCTTTGGCTGATTTCAGTCATCATTGCTAGCCATACTGCCGTAGAATTTCATCTAATCACAATCCATGTGCAAGGAGGCCGGAGTAGGGATGAAGGGTCGTTATTTTACTTGGTTGGGGAAAAGAAGTAAGTAATGATAATGGATCAATGTGCCTTCCATTCTCTCCTTTTCATTTGGTTGAAGAAACGTGTCATTAGCAAAACCCCTCCGTTCTTCACCACGGCAACCACACGTCTATAAAGACATGGTTGTCACCAAATAAAATGACAGCGGTTCATATTAGAGAAATTCTTATGCTACAGTACCCACCTTATCACTTTAATAGGTATCAGGATAGTCATTGACGAGAATTTGTAACAAAATTTAAATATTAAAATTGAAAATTAACTAGTACTCACTAATGACGTGAAGTATATAAATTCTTATATTAATAATTTACATATATTATTTAGAGACTCTGTAATTCCTAATATATTCTGGAAAATCATCCGATTCCGTTTTATAAATCATGAATTCCTCTATCCAATTTAATTAGTTAGCTCTACCTATAGTTACACGGTTTCAGAAACAACTCGACTTATAATCCGAAAGGGAAAAAGGCAACTAATTTCACACTATAAATATACCAACCTACACTATAAAGGGTTAGAATAGGGTGAGTAACCATTGGTTACTAATCTATGAATAACTAAATCTGGACCTTTAGATCTAAGTGGGCCCAGAATATCCAGATATAAGGGTTGTCAATTAAAGACATTTTATTTTCCCTAGTTTTCATAACCGGCTCATATCTTCTTCGTTTTAACTCGGATTTCAATTTTTTTTTGCACACATGGAACGAGTTCGTTGTGCTCTACAAACTGAGACCAATTTTAAATAAAAAGGCAATATTCATCTGTGTAGCCAAAACTATCACATTTGTGATAATAATAGCCACTTTTGGCGAAATACCAAATATAGCCAAAATTTTGAAACTTTCATGACAAATATAGCCATTTACTTACATATTTTAACGACGTCATGACACCGTTAGTCAAATTAACAGAATGCTCACTTGGCTACCAACTCACCTGACACATCATCGCCAACTCAACAAAACTTGCCACATAGATGCCATGTCATATTTAATTTTAAAAAAATATAAAATTATTTTCTCATACTCTCTCCTCTCCCACCACTCGATGTTGTCGTCCTCTCTCCTCTCACACCATCGTCGGCGTCTTCTGCAACTGTCGTCACAACCACTTTTCTTGCCGGGCATATGAGAAATCCAATCCATACGCATAAATACCTAGATAGGAGAAGAAACAAAATCGAAGCGACAAAAGAAACATGGGAAGAGAGAAAGATAGAGGAATGAGATGCACCTTGGATGCAGATCTAGCAGTCCTCGACGACGGTTGCGAGACTCGTCCCAGAAACCTAACTCCACAAAATTGCACAGTCTGAAGGTGAAGAGAAGGGCAGATCGGAGGCACCGGAGGCGGGCGGAAATGGAGATTGCGAGATTTGCGCATAGATCCAGCAACGACGGGGTCGATTAATCATTAACCATCAAAGAAATTTCCAGCCAAAACAACAAATCTGGATTATTTTGCCCTTTTTTTGGACCAAAAGTTCAGAAAGCATAGCATCATCGTCCTTAAGAATGCGACCGACCTTCGACGCCGTCATCTACTGAACCGTCGCGTTGTTGCCTCCAAAATCCCTAAATTGATCGAGGCTTTCCCCGATGCGGCAGATCCATCTTCAAGCATGACCTTATAGAGAGCTGCCTTATTAAGCGAAGCTTCCTCGTTGCTCTGGATTCCTGGAGGGAGCGAAGATTGACGATGGAGGAAAGGAATTGGAAATCGTTGAATGAGGTGGGTTGAGACACGACGGAGTGGATGACGTAAACTGTCGTAGTCACAAAGAAACCAAAGGGATAGAATGGTGGAGCGCCGAAGGGAAGAAAAAGAGGAGGCAATGGATGGTGCCGGGGAAGTGGAGGGGATGAGGGCGTGATGCCTAGGGAAGAAAAAGAGGAGACGATTCCTCTTAGCCACTCAATCTTCCAAGAGAATTTTCTTTTTAAATAAATGATTTTTTTTAATAAATTTTCCATGTCAGCTGCCACGTGTATGCTGACTTTGATTAATTGTAGTCAATTTAACCTTTCCGTTAGTCGAGTCAGCCATTTGGTTAACACCGTCAAAGAATTGGACGGAAGTGGCTATCTTTGGTATTTCGCCAAAAGTGGCTATATTTGGCCAAACCGTCAAAGTTTTGGCTATACAAGTGTATTTTGCCTATATTTTGAGAAACTTTTTATTTACCAACTACATACCATATGGTAACTTCTTCATTTTTAAGTCGTTTTTGAAAACGTTTGCTCAGAAGGAACGAACGAGTTCATCATGATCTATTGTATCTACAAATTTCTGGGTGAAAAAAATACTGGACCAATAATTACCATATTTTACCACTATGGTATGTGGGTGGTAACTTATGGTAAACAATGATGAAAGTCGTAAATGACAGTTAGTAGACTCCTACTATCATGTTCATACCATCATGGTACGTTTTCTTACCATATGGTATTAAATATGAGCATACCATATGGTAATGACTGGTAAAAAATTATTCAATTTTTTTATACTAAAAATATATCAAAGTGGATATCATTTTAAATAGCACATTTAATCTGATTTATCTGTGCAAAAAAATTTAAATTTCTACTTAAAACGGGAGAGAAATCGTCCGTTAAAGATTAAAGGAGAAAAGATAAAAGACTTTCCATGAGAGATGAGATGCTGATGTCATGCGGATGTGGACAGGTTACTGATGGTTAGTCACCATAAGAGTTACTGACTTGATCTGCTCCCCATTATAAATATCCCAAAAAAGTCCATACTACTTCGCGGAGAGTAACTACTACACTACTCGATCCTTGATCGAGTGTTTCATTGTTTGTACACCACGATGAAGAGTCGTAATCATACATTGTTTGGCAGGATGCTCTTCCTCTTCATGATCACGTTGTTTGTGCCGGTGGTACATTCAGCTGGTTCACCGTCTCTTAGAATAGGCTTCTATAGACGATCTTGTCCAGCCGCCGAATCCATCGTCAGAAGAATCGTGAGAAGGACGGTGTCTCAAAATCCCGGCATTGGTGCAGGACTCATTAGGTTGCACTTTCACGACTGCTTCATCCGGGGTTGTGATGGTTCAGTGTTGCTGAAATCCCTCCCAAGTGGCCCGAAAGCAGAGAGAGACCACCCGGATATTTTGAGAGGGTTCAACATCATCGCGAGAGCCAAAAGAAGAATCGAACGTGTCTGCCCTAACACCGTCTCGTGCACCGACATTCTCGCTTTCGCCGCCAGGGACAACTCCCAATACTCGGACGCATCAACTACCCTGTCCCCGCTGGCCGCCGTGATGGCATCGTCTCCAGCTTCAACGAGGTCACGCAAAACCTGATAAGCATAACAATTAATTATTTAATTACTGTATTTAGTGGGTTGTTATAGTTGTTTAGTGGCTCCTAATTCATAGCTACGTGAGGTTGTATCTTGGGTATTTAATTCCCACTTCTAGTCAATACAAATCACTAATTTAATCATCTACATGGTATCAGAGCATGAGCTCGATCCCTTAACCTAAACCTAAAACATCCTCACGTCTTTTTTTCCTCTCTGCTTCCTATTCTGCGCCTCCATTCCCTTATCTCCTGTCTTCTCTCTTCTTCCATCCACGCCACCATCATGTCTGGAGAATCAGTAATCAATCTCAATGATGAGACCACTATTATCACTTTGAACCCTGCATCCCAACTTCCCACCAAGCTGACTGGTGAGAACTTTCCCCAATGGCGTGCTCAGCTTCAAACCCTTCTTCGCGGGCTGGATCTTCTCAAGTTTCTCGATGGGTCTCATCCCCAGCCAGACCCCGCTGCTGAAGCCTCCGTTCGTCGACGGTGGTACCGCCAGGATCAACTCTTGCTGCACGCCATCCATGCCTCTGTCGCCCCTGGCGTGTCAGCCTATATCGCTCACGCCACTACTGCCCGTGATGCTTGGACTGTTCTTGAGAGGATGTTTGCTAATCCCTCTCGCTCTCGTGTCATCTACCTGAAGGAGACGCTGGCCAAGGAGTCTCAAGGTGCCCGATCTGTCTCTGTTTATATGCAGGCTATGAGAGCCACTGCAGCTGAACTGGCCCTTGTTCAGGCGCCGGTATCGAATGAGGATATGGTTCTTCATATCCTCCGCGGATTGCGTGATGAGTTCGGGGCCATTGCTGCCGCTCTTCGTGCCCGTGACACAACCATCGCCTTGGAGGATCTACACGATCGCCTTGTCGAGTACGAGGCTGATCTGGCCAATGCCCGTTCTCACTCGGCGGCGGCTGCTCCCACTACGGCTTTCTCTTCCTTTCGTGGCCGTCAGTCCTCTCGGCACCCATCTCCTCGTGGCCGTGGCAGTCCCCGCCGCAATCAAGCTCCGATGTCTTCGTATCGCCCTGCTTCTCCTTCTCGAGGCTATTCTGGCTCGCCTCATGCTGCTGCTGCGCCCTCTCTTCTCGGCCGGCCTACTCCTCAATGTCATTTTTGTGACAAAATGGGTCACACAGCAAAGGATTGCTATCGGATTCAGGGTCGCCCACAGGCTCATCATACCACGTTCCCGTCTTCTTCTTCTAATGCTGGCTGGTTGCTTGACTCGGCAGCGACTAATCATGTGACGCCAGACCTTGGCCATTTGTCTCTATATACAGATTACAATGGACCTGATGAGGTTCTCGTCGGCGATGGGTCAGGTTTGAAGATATCCCATATCGGCTCTTCCACTCTCTCTACTCCTACTCGTACCTTATCATTGAATGATGTGTTGTGTGTTCCCGCTATCAAACGTCGTCTTCTTTCTGTTGCTCAACTCTGCAAATCTAATCCTGTGTCGGTGGAATTTTTCTCTGATGTTTTTGTTGTGAAGGACCTAGCCACGGGGGCGCCTCTGCTACGCGGCCTGAATAAGGATGATGTCTACGAGCTGCCGCTGGATGCCTCGCCGGTTCGTCTTGCCTTAACCACGTCCAAGACCACTCCGTCCACCTGGCACAACCGCCTTGGCCACCCAAACAGCAAGCTCCTCTCTCGTATGCTCCATAAACAATCTCTTCCTGTCACTCGGATTCCTTCCATGCTGTCATGTGAATCATGTTCTCTCCACAAAAGTCATAAACTGCCCTTTTTTGCTTCTACTTTAAACAGCACCCGTCCATTTGATTTGTTATTTGTGGATGTTTGGGGTCCTTCCCCTGTTATCTCTGTTGACAATTTCTCATATTATTTAGTCATTGTTGATCATTTTTCCCGCTACACTTGGTTGTATCCCCTCTCCCGCAAGTCTGATGTTCATAATGTGTTCACCATTTTCAAATCCATGATTGAAAACTATTTCCATACCACGATCCGCCGTGTGTTCAGTGACGGTGGGGGTGAGTTTCAAAAGCTCTGCTCGTTCTTTCAAACCCATGGAATTACTCATTTTCTCACCCCTCCTCATACTCCGCAACATAATGGATTGGCGGAACGTAAACACCGTCATGTTGTTGAAACTGGCCTTGCTCTTCTCTACACTGCTCACCTACCTCTTTCCCTTTGGTCACACGCTTTTCAAACAGCCATCTACCTAATCAACCGCCTTCCATCCTCTTCATTACGTGGCGACTCACCCTACTATACCCTTTTCAATGAGCAACCCAATTTCCTCAAACTACGAACCTTTGGCTGCCTGTGCTATCCCTAGCTTCGGCCTTATTCTCCACATAAATTAGCTCCCCGATCTCGCCGCTGCATATTCTTGGGTTACTCTCCCAACCAAAGCGCTTACAAGTGCTACGACCCCACCGCTCGCAGACTATACTTCTCCCGTCATGTGCAATTTGAAGAGACCTCCTTCCCTGGCCTTTCTCCTTCTGCCGAGACTTCACTTTCCCCTAATGCTTGGGTCGCCACTACTACACCCTCCCTCCAGCTCTTTCGTATATCTCCCCCTGCCCCATCTTTTCCCTCTCCACCTAACCCCATCCCAACTTCTTCTCCGCAGCTCGCAGCTTCTCCGCAGGTCTCCGCACGCACTCCCCTGGCTTCGTCCTCACAGCAGCATCCCCCGCCGCCTGCTCCGGCAAAGGCACCAGCTCCACCCTCTCGTCGCATTGTCACTCGCAGCCAGCATGGCATCTTCAAGCCTCGGAGACTTTTCTCCGCCCAGGTATCCCCATTCCCGCTCACGCCATCTTCTCTCCGACAGGCTCTTGCTGATCCTCGCTGGAATGCAGCCATGAAGGCTGAGTTTGCTGCCTTATTATCAAATTGCACATGGACTCTTGTTCCCCGCACCTCTTTCCAGAACATTGTTGGCTGCCGATGGATTTTCTGGATCAAGTACAGACCGAATGGGTTAATTGAACGGTTCAAGGCCCGGTTAGTGGCCAAGGGGTTCACTCAGCGCCCCGGGGTTGATTTTCATGATACCTATAGCCCGGTTCTCAAGCCGGTCACTGTTCGCACGGTTTTCAGCATTGCTCTCACCAATCAATGGCCGATTTATCAGTTTGACGTTAATAACGCCTTTCTTCAAGGTGCTTTGCAGGAGAAGGTTTTTATGGCTCAGCCTCCTGGCTTCGTGGATCCCGACCACCCAGATCATGTGTGCTGTTTGTCTCGCGCCATTTATGGCCTTCGTCAAGCTCCACGTTCTTGGTACATGGCCTTATGTTCATTTCTACTACATGAAGGTTTTGTGAAGACCAAGTCTGATGCTTCACTCTTTGTCTATAACAAGAATGGGGTTCTTCTATACTTTCTTGTTTATGTCGACGATCTGCTTCTTACCGGTAATCATGCTCCTACGCTGGCAAGTTTCCAAGCTCGGCTTGCGGCTCGCTTTTCTCTCAAACAGCTGGGTTCGGTACATTATTTCCTTGGTATTGAGGTGCTTCCGACTGCTGCTGGGTTCGTCCTCTCTCAACATCAATATGTGGCTGATCTTCTCGCCCGTTTTGGCATGACCGATGCCTAGCCTGCCCCAACTCCCCTTGCTTCCACTACTCACCTTTTGCTCAGCGATGGCACACCTCCCGCTGACGCTAAGTTATATCGCCAGGCTCTTGGCTCGCTGCAATATCTTCTATGTACTCGCCCGGACATCGCCTTCACCGTCAACAAATTGTCCCAGTTTATGCATGCGCCGACGCAGCTTCACTGGCAGTGTGTGAAGCGTCTTTTTCGCTACCTCAAAGGGTCGTCTGCCATGGGCCTTCGTCTTGCTCCCACGACTTCGCCGCGGCTCACTGTTTTTGCAGATTCGGATTGGGCAGGGGATCCCAATGATCGCACATCGACGATGGCATATCTGGTCTATTACGGTGACAATCTTATCTCCTGGTGCTCTAAAAAGCAGCGCTCTGTGGCTCGATCCAGTACGGAAGCGGAGTATCGTGCCTTAGCCCATGCCGCTGCCGAGGTCCTTTGGGTTCAAAATCTCCTTCTTGAACTTCATCACCCGCCAGCCGCTGCCCCGGTCCTCTACTGCGACAACTTGGGCGCCGTCAACTTCTCAGCAAATCCTGTCTATCACAGCCGCATGAAACACCTTGCGCTTGACTTTCACTTTCTCCGGGAACTCGTACAGTCTGAGGCACTCGCTGTTCGTCATATTCCAACCGCGCATCAGCTCGCAGACTCACTTACCAAACCGCTTCCCATTTCCCGGTTTCAGTTGCTTCGGTCCAAGATCGGAGTCGTACCCGTCTCCATCTTGCGGGGGCGTGATAAGCATAACAATTAATTATTTAATTACTGTATTTAGTGGGTTGTTATAGTTGTTTAGTGGTTCCTAATTCATAGCTACGTGAGGTTGTATCTTGGGTATTTAATTCCCACTTCTAGTCAATACAAATCACTAATTCAATCCTCTACAAAACCTCCCTTCCCCGAGACTCACGGCCGACCAGCTTATTCAAAACTTCGCCAGGAAAGGGTTGTCGGCGGACGAGATGGTGACGCTCTCCAGTGCGCATTCCATCGGCAGGTCCCGCTGTTCCTCGTTCTTGGCGGAGAGCCCGGCGACAAGGGGGTACGTGGATGTGAACGCCAGGTACGATGTGGCGTGGGCTGCAAAATTCGGTAGGGCGATGGTGAAGATGGGCTCCATTGATGTTCTTACTGGGAACCAGGGTGAGATTAGGAGGAGGTGCAGCATGGTCAACTGACGAACACCGGAGCTAGGTAGTTAGTCATACATGATAGATTCGTACTTTTGTTTGTTTCTTTCTTTCTCATTGTTCAGCTAATTCAGTACTATACTTCGTAATGTAATTGTCATTCTTTACCCAGAATTAATGTGTGATTTATGAGTAGCTTTTAATTAATCATTCTTCTTGGCATGGTATTATTTTAATTGTTCTATTTTAGCATTTGAAGAGCATCAAACTGTACAAGTAATTATCCACAATACTAACAATTATTTCCCGTGAGTAGATCTTAAGAAAGAAATTAAACCACTATGATCCGAGGATTTGATAACCAAAAAGTTGTGTTAGAATTCCAGTAACCTCGGTTGTTAAGTATATGATATTCAGATTTGTGCAAATTTCAACCATTATGAATTGACTTTCATTTTAGCGGGCATGTTAGGCAATTGTATATGATCCAAAATTGAATCTCTCACAACAATTCGAGTTATTGGGATCAACGAGTTACTCCATAGCATGTTGTGGTTTCATTAATCATTGACAAGCTATCTAACAATTCCAAAGGTCAGGATCGATACAATGCACGGTACATAGCACAAAATGACTACGACAACAAACGTTATCGTCCTCATTAATTACAATAAAAAATGAAATAACATCCAATTTGAAACTAACCAAATTATTGGAACCTAATGAATATTGATATCATGTAAGTGAGTTTAAGAAAGGTAAAGAATATGCAAATCCGCATAATTCCTAGCTGATATAAACCTCTCTAATCCATACACAATTGCTCCCCCGCTCCCACAATTAAGATGGTCTTTTAAAGGAATAACATAACATCCAAACTCAAAAGATATTTAAAGCTTTGAAAACAATCAATTTTAACTAAGACTCATTTCACTCCTAATAACACAACTCTGCATGGTGTTACGTAAAGAAGAAAGATCCAATACTAAATCTTCCACGGGAGAGTTATACAACAAATGAAAAGAGTTTCTATGACCAAAAGAACCGTTGGCAAAAACACCAAAATGGTGACCATAATCTTCTCCGACTGTTTCATTGCTCTTAGTGATCCTTTCAATTTGTTAGCCACGAAAACAAGTTTTTTTCTTCGAGAAAGAGAGGGAGAGGGAGTTAACCAGCGTAAACTTGCTCCACTGAAAAAGCAGCTTGTTGATGTCATCATCTGTTGATTCTTCTCATGGAAAGCTACATTCAAACGAAAAGAACTAGTTCTATATTAACATGTTATGCATAGGATTCAGGCTAGCAGATGCTTATAGACTACACTATTTAGATTATGAATTGACCAAAGTTTGTGCCATGATATTATATTCTAACTTCTAATTGCTGGATCTCGATTCTGAATTCTCTAAATTCAAACCAGGAGATCAACTTAGTCAAGTGATAATAACAAATGATTATCTGAATTATCAGAAATACATCAAAGTACATCTAATAAGTGAATGCAATATAGATTAATTTTTGCCATATGAAATGCTTTAGTATTGATCGACTATCTTAAAATCCATTCCATCCCAACTTGAGGAGAGATAGAGAGTGAAAGGGGTGGTTCTTGAAACTTGCCTGTAGAATTATAAGACAACAACTTCCTAGTAGTGGTGGTGATCATCTGGTGATTCTTCACATCGTGTGAAGCTGCATCCAAAGATCTAATCGACGTAAAAGCACAAACAAGAACCAAGAGGAGGAGGGAAAATATAGCCTTAATAATTTCCATTGAGTGCTGCTTATTTTTTTCCCCCCTGTGTTTTCTTCCCATAAATAATTAAGAACAGTATTTAATATTTATAGTTCAAGTGTGAGGATGGGCCTAGCTAAGTAAGATTCTGATGGTTGGTTTAATTAGTGGATTAAGACATGGATATATATGCCTTGCGTTCCTGCTTCCACCACATGATTTGGAGGAATCGGTTCGTCCAACAAACCAAGCATTCAACCTTTGGCGTGTGACCGATCGAACATTCAAGGCTTTGGTTCCACCGAGCGATCAGCTGGCTAGAAAATGATTTAAGTATAAGTTAATACTATATGTAAGATAAAATGATAAGGTAGCTATAGATATAGATATCCTTCATTTATAATAATTAGAGTTAGTTTTTTTTTTTTGTTGCCTTCAAATTTGAATCTAGGCCCATAAATAAAAAGCTAGTACCACTAAAAATTAGGAGTGGCTATACGGTCCGGTTAAATTGGTCCAAATTGATCCGGTCCAGTCCGGTCTTTTTTAAATGTAAGGACTAAAGATTGGATTGGATACAGTCTGGTCTTGATCCGGTCCGGTTTTGACCCGGTCCGGTTCCAATTCGGTCTTGATTTTATATTGATCTTGTGGGGATTTGAGTGGCCTAAGACCTGAAAGGGTGAGGAGTTGGTTAAGTTTTGTACTAAGTGCAAAGGTTTGTGACTGTTTATGCAAATTACCCTTAAGTTTTGGGTGTTGAGCTCTCTTACCCGCTCTTTATCTAGTTTTCGATCCGGTCCCGAACGGGTTTTTTTACCTCAAATCTAAGACCAAAGATTGGATTGGATTGTTTACTATCCGGTCTCGATCCGGGTTATACGGTCCGATTTCGGGTAAAACCAAAAAACCCGGACCAAATAGTCAGCCCTACTAAAAATACCAATTTTTAGCGAAAGTGTCATTTTTATTAAGTAATTTCATTAAGCTATTGGGTATTTGTCACTTATGTGGACTTTTAGTCGGTTTTCTTAGGCTTTTGTTGTACAATGTTGGTAACTTTTTCGCTGGGGTTTGGGGCATTTACTATCTTAATGAACCAATTTTTTTTAAAAAAAGTAAAACAACCTTCAGCTTCTGCCTTGGATTATCTGTCGAGAGGAAGCTCAACCCAACAACATCGTTGCACATAATCCTTTCTTTCTTCGTGGGTTGGGTTCTCAAAGTCATAGTAATTGAAGGGATAAACGAGACTGTGTTTTAATAGTCCGTCTGTTATTCTGTTCTCTTTGCGATACGTATGAACTAGTTAAACCACTCAATCTTGAATCTTGTGCTAGATCACGACGAATGACACCAAAAATAGTGGCATGGCGATGGATTGGATCATGTCTTTTGTTGATCAGCTCAATAGCTAACTTTGAGTATGCCAAGTCCCCGGTAAATCTCTCAAAGCTCAGATATTTTAGAGTTCTACATGTTCCAAACTTGCTGCGGAACCCTCCTGACCAATCTCCTGGTCAGACACCTCTCTCTTGACTTTCCGTAACCAAACTAGTTTGGAAAAACAGATAAAAGCAACAACATTACGAGTTTAATGGTACATAAAGGCACTAGAATTGACAGTGTTGTAGTTATAACAAAAGTGAAAAAATGACATTATTCTCACTACGGGAAAAGTGCCTTTTGGCAACACTTGAAATGTGTTGCAAGAAGTGTCGAATGTGTTGCATAAGTGATATGCAACACTTTTAGTAGTGTCCCCTATAAGTGGTGTTGTATAAAGTAATAAGTAACATTTTTTTAACTTTTTGCAACAATAAAAAAATGTGTTGCGTATGTATACCCTATATGCAACACCATTTTTTGCAACACATCAAAATATATAGGCAACACTTTTTACATGCATACCCAACATGTATATGCGTTATTCATGACGTATTTTGTCGTCACATTAGACGTACTCAATTGTCACAACTTTCAGATTGTAACAAATACTTTGCGCTTGTGACGAGTTTATGTCGTCACTAAATTTGTCTCAATCGTAACAATTTTCGTCGTCACAAATGCTATTCTTATTCGGCTGAACTTTTGTCACAAAAGGAGGTTTTTGTGACGGCCTTATCGTCAGAAAATTATTTTTTTGTGACACGATTATCGTTATAGGTGTAATAGCATTAGTGACAAAGTTTTTTTTATTGTCACATTACACTTTTGGTTATGATAACATTTGTCATAAAAGCCCACTTTTGTGACAACTGTTCTGCCACGATTGACAATATCTATGACGATTCTGTTTTGTAAGAATAGTATATATTAGTGACAATCTGTTACGCGATTGAAAGTATTTTTTGTGACACGTAATGTCATCACAAATTTTCAACATTAGTGAGGATTTTGGTCATCGCAAATGTGTATTGTTCGTGAGAACAATGTTGTCACATATTTATGTTTTGGTGGCAAAAGCGCACACAAAAATAGTTTTTTGTGACAAAACTATTAATCACATATGGTAATATTTGTGACCATTGAGCATTGTAAGCAAATGTATGTATTAGTGACAATCTGATCATCACTAAATTCATTTTTTGTGGCAACTATATTGACCACATAATACAATATCAGTGAGGATTTGAAGCGACACGCATACATATTATTTGTGACATCAATACTGTCACATTTTATCTTCTTTGGTGACAATAAATACACCCATAGTAACCTTAATGGTGACAATTACACTCATGACAATTGGGTCCCTTTTGTGACTAGGTCTTGTCACAATCGTAGTGTTTTTGTGAAAATATAATTTGTCACGTGTGATTTGTTGTTATGAGATTTTGTTAATAATAAAAAAATATTTAGCTAAAATATTAAATGAAACACATTGAACTCATAATAGAGAACACTCTTTAAATAAATACTTAATAATGATATAAACTAAACATAGTAGGACAAAATACTATAATAAGTTTTGTCTAGACCAACAACAAAATTTTCTAGTCATTCATGGTGCATTTCTCTAGCCTCTTCTTCGTACTTTGCTTGTAGGCGGGCTATACGATCTTCAAATTTCTTCTTTTCTTCTGCTAATTTGACATTGTATTGTTGTTGTACCTCTGCTTCTATCTCTACCCTCAATATTAATTTATTTTTCGCCCCTCTTCGAGAAGGAGGAGGCTTTCCCGAAGCTACACGAACCATCTCTTTGTAGGTTAATTTCGATCCCGCATCAACCAACTCTTTTATTTTTAACTGTAAAATGAAAGAATTTATGTGTAAATCAATTTGAACAAAAATTAATGCATACTAA